AAAAGCTCATATGAGGTTTGCTAGGACCACTTAGGTTTTCATTTTTTGATCTTGTGCCTCTATAAAAGTAGAGGTTTTAGCAGTATTCAGGTATGTATGAACAATGACAAAGTGCAAAGTAATGAACAATGAACTTTAAGAAAAAACTGCTGCTGCCTATCAATTTAGAAAGGGTTATAGGGCCATTACCAAACAATTTTTAAGTCCATAATTATTCAGTGAGGAAGATTATTCACAACTGGAAAATGTTCAAGATGGTTGGCAGTCTTCCCAGTAGTGCATGTTCTAACAAATTTACCTCAAGGTCAGACTGTGCAATCCTCTGAGAAACTGCAAAAAGACACAAGAGCTACATCTCAGACTCTGCAGGACTTAGCATGTTAAAGTTCATGAAAAATACTGAACGTGTGGCTTGTTATGAAAAGTTGCCAGGAAACGGCTTCATCTCTCTAAAAGAAGAACATGGCAGCGTAACTTGTAAAGTTTCATCTGAACAAAATGCAAGACTTCTTCATCAATATTCTTTGCACAAGACCATAGTCGGGGTGTCTGGCTATGTTTGGAGAAAATCAAACACAGCATATCAGTGCAAACACCTCATGCCAACTGTCAAGCGTAATTGTGGAGGGATGCCCATTGTCACCTAAGAATCACTTGGTTCCCCATGGACTCCGCTGTATACCGAAGGGAGGTTATCTCTCTGACAGCATGACTTCATGAAAAACAATCTTGTATAATTGACAGAAAATACTAAAGAAGCAAAGACATTCGGTGTTAGCTTTATCTGTAGTAAATTAGTTTTAGAGTGCATTAGTCAGACTGTGAGATGTAATAAGTTTAGAATACTACTACTACTAATAGAAATACTAAAACACAACAGTACAAACACTTGAAACAGTCACACAGGCACCCATTTCTTAGTAAACATTTCCATCCAATGCCACCAAATTCTATCTGTGTTGACAAATTTGACCAAATGTACAAAGATTAAAGTTAAATGTGTTTCTGGAAATTGTTTATTTATACTTTTTTAATGCACAGAAATTAGTTTTTGAATTTTATAAATCTATTTATTTACATTTTTGTTACATATTTTCTTCCACAGTTTAGTTAGAATGCTTGGGAAAACCTCTGATCTCTTGAAGGATAACTGCAGTTTCAAGTCTCGTCTTTAGGTGGCGGTAAAGACACCAAACTACTGGATGTTAGGCAACAAAAAGAAGCAGAAGAAGAGGGAACGGTCTTGTTTTTGTCCGCTGCAACACGCAGCACTCCTGATGCGAAAATGCGCATCGAAAAGTGTTATTTTTGTTCGGGACCAGTGTACCCCGGACATGGGGTGATGTTTGTACGGAACGACTGTAAGGTATGGCGCAGGTTTTTGCCCGAACAATGCTGTTAATTTTAACCGAAGCTCCTGTTTTGACTAATAGTGGTGGCTCGTTAGTGTACGGCTAATACTAGCATGCTAACATAACGTGCTGGATTCATTCACGTGGGTCCAAAGCAGGGAGTTAGGGCTGGAAAACGGTAAATAACAGTCGTAAATCGTATTTGCGACGGAAAGGGGAAGAAATAGACAGTAAAGTTCTTTTTTAAAACACATTACTTTATTTCGCAAACCTAATGGACATGAAGTTGTTGGGTGAGTCTGGACGTGTAAATCGGAGGGCCTCGGTTTTTCCTGATGGAGTGAGTGCGCCCTCTTATGCTTCAGTGTGAGACCAGGAGCTTGGAATTGTAGGCTGTAAACAAATGTTAATACAAACACTTGATGGTCCTCATAATCCTGACTTTTGTGCCACGGTAATGGTATTTATAAACATCTTAGTTTGTAGGGAAAATATGCTATAGGTCATTAAACTCACTTGTGTTTAGTTTACATATGTCTCTTGTCTTCCGATTATTTGTGAATATATATACTCAGTAGTACAGTTAAAGCAATGTGTCATAACTTTGTTCTTAAAGATAAAAATGTATAATGTAGTTCTTCTTCACAGTGTATCTGATTTCGTACACAGAGAAATCCGGAAGTCAAAAAGACTGTTTAGATAAAGGATTTAATAATATACAATAAATGTAGGTTTAAGTGCTAATAACAAGCAGTAAATGTTTTGAAAATGTATTTTTAAGTTGTAAAGTATCAACTATATCCCCTATATATGTATGTATGTTTGTATATGTAAATTCATAATTTTCCTGTTATTTTTGGAGGTCGTCTTAAACCATTTCTCCAATTTCAGCTATTGATTTTGCCAGTGCACTTCCAATCATTAAATTTTCAGCAAATGTAATATCTTTACTGCTGATAATGTCTCACTTTCTATCATTAACTCATGTGCTTGTTTATATCCACACATTTTCGTATCGGGTGATCCCCAAATTGTTTTTCTCTCTTTAATAAAACAGACATTCAGATTCTGCAAATCAAAATGCCACAAGAACTTCAAGAAGAAGCGCAACCCAAGAAAAACAAGATGGACCAAAGCATTCAGAAAGGCATCAGGAAAGGAGCTGACAGTGGTAAGCTGTCCATCTATGAGGACCATCTCATCGTTCATTTGTTTGACTAAACCTTAACCAACACACTTGCTGTCTTTCAGGATAACTCTTTGGAGTTTGAGAAACGCAGAAATATTCCTGTTAAATATAACAGGGAGCTTTGGGATAAGACAGGTAATGTATATATTTATTTATTAGAAGCTTTTTGGGCAAAAACATTCACATTAATTGTATGTATACCATTAAATACCAACATTAGGAATCTCAGAGCACTTAAAAAAATGTAAGGTTAAGAGTTTAAAATACAGAACCCAGCTTGGGGAAAGAAAAGGGATAACATGTAAGCACATAGAGAGGCAACAAAAGGCAAACCACAAACTGTGAGACAGACTAGGAACAAAGGTAATAGTAGCATACAAACGCATGAAGAATGAAAGATGCATGAAAATAGGTAATATAGTTGGCAGCAATTATTCAGGATCATAGGATCTAATCTTATTTTTAAGCTTTATCAACAACAAAAGTTTGAAGTTTAATCTCAGAGGAAGAGGGGCATCTACCTGCAAAACCCAACCCAGGCAGGAGAGGAGCCTGATAGCTGAAGCCTGTGTACAGTTTTTATTGGGTTATTATAATCCTCTGAGGTCTTTAATGTATCATCGAGCTTTGTGAGTAGAAAGGCTTTAAACTGTATATAGGTATATATATATTTTACATTTTACCTAGCAGAAATGTGATCTGTCTCATTAGTTGTTCCTTCTCTGACTGCAGCATCTTTGATCAGCTGAAAGCTTTCAGGGAGGTTTTAGGACAACCAGTAATAAATTCATGAGCTGGTTTTTCAAGTATCACTCTATAACAAGATGTTCTGATTGTCACATACATGAAAGAACACACTCATATAAACCTCTGGTTATTGTCTCATTCTAAGCAATGTGTTTATGTTCTGTTAACTTTTGCAGTGGAAGCAATGAAGAAAGTGAGCGAAATAAAACATAAACGACAAGCAAGATTTATCATGAACAGGTGAGCATTTTTAAAAAAAAAAAAAAATACTTTAATAGACTTTCTTCAGATTTTTGAATATTGAATATTAAATATGATACTTTTAAAATCTCTGTAAATTAGGGAAATATGTTTAACGGTTGGGGATAAAAGCACTTGCCTTGCCTAAACTCTTTCTGTTCTGTAGATTAAAGAAGGGCAAAGAGTTGGAGAAAGAAGAGGCCATCAGCGAAGTCAAGAAAAACATTCACCTCATCAAAGCACCACATGCAGGTAAAGACTCATGAAGTTATCCATATGACTGTGCATGTAGTGAATTTGGTGACAATGATTTTAGTACAAGTGTCTTACAGTCAAGTGTGACTTTATCAGACAAAACAGGGTAAGGGTCAATGGTGCAGCACTCTTTAGGTATAAAAGAGATGATGAACCAATGTCTGCACATAAAATAGAAATAAGATTACTATTCTTGCTTTTCCTTTCTTCAGAATGGAGGTTGTTCAAGTAGAATCATTGTAAATGCAGCTACTGATCATACATATTTGTTGGTTACTTTTCCTTTTAATAAAGATAATTTCAGCATGGTTTGCACTGTCTGTTACAGGAAAAGCCAAACAGTTGGAAGACAAAATGGTGCAGAAGTTGCAAGAAGATGTGGACATGCGGGAGGAGGATGATTAATCTTCTGTTGCTTTTTTTTTTTTACGTGGTTTTTTTTTTTTTCCTGAAACTTTATTGTATATTTGTTTGGAAATTTAAGTTTCCAAATAGCAGTTGTTGTGCTGAGTAAAGCATTTGGCTTTAAATTGCTGTGAAAGATTTGAACGTATTGACTTCATAAAGGCCTTAGTTCAAAGCAGCAGCCATTAACTGCAGTTTTCCCAGTTGTTCTGTTTTGGTTTTCACTGTGTGGTATTTGGAGCAGTGAAGAAATGGATTTAACCCTGTTGCAAAGTCTAATGTATTACAGTTGTTCTGAAAATATTAAGATTGCCGATATATTAAAAAGCATCTTTTCTGGAATTTCTCCTGCTCTTTATTTTGTGAGATGATGATAATACCAAATAATACATGAATGAATATTAAAGTTGCTGCCAATAATAGATTCAATTTTGGAAGACTAATAGACCATAAACCGTGTTACTTTTTTCAGCAGGTTATTATTTGGCATGAGCATCATAAGAGATTAGCTGCCCTTGTGTATATATTGTACAATGTAAACATTTAATCTGCAGTAACTGTTATACAGCAGGAAAAAAAACTATAGGCCTGTGCCAGTCATTCAATCACAACTTGTCTGTACAGAGAAATTGTGAGGGTCAGTTATTAATATAATTATTATACTGTTAAAATGGTGGCTGTGCCTAATAAACATGTTGGAAGTTTCAAATAATGAGGTCAGAGTACATATAAGTCCTACTTTTGGCTCTTTATGATGCCAGGAAGAGCAGATATCCTTCACATGGTCATTTTGAGCATGTAGCTCAGGGGTGGGCAATTCCAGGCCTCGAGGGCCGGTGTCCTGCAGGTTTTAGATCTCACCTTGGGTCAACACACCTGAATTACATGATTTGTTCGTTACCAGGCCTCTAGAGAACTGCAGGAGCTAATTTAGCCATTTAAATCAGCTGTGTTGGTTCAAGGACACATCTAAAACCTGCAGGGACACCGGCCCCCGAGGCCTGGAGTTGCCCACCCCTGATGTAGCTCTTCACATCTTTAAAACAAATGTAATTATTCATAGGTGGATTCAACAAGCTGCTGGAAACATTTCTCAGATTTTTGGTCTGCATTGACAAAATTGGCATCACATAGTGGCTGCATATTCATGATGTGATCCACCACGCCCCAAATGTGTTTGATTGGATTGAGATGTCCTAAGTGGGGTCATTTGAACTCATTGTCATGTTCAAGAAACCAGTCTGAGATATTTGAGCTTTGTGACATAGTTCACTATCTTGTTTAAAGTAGCCTTAAGAAGATTGGTGCACTGGCAGTACACTGTAGTAAAGGGATGGACATGGCCAGCAGCAGCAGTGAAGTAGGCTGTGGTATTTAAATGATGCTCAGTTTGTACTAAGTGGCCCAAAGTGTGCAGAGAAAATATCCTTCTCACCTTTTCAAAACCACCAGCCTGAACTGTTGACACAAGGCAGGATGGCTCCATGCAGATTCTGGCCCTATCATCTGAATATTGCATCAGAAGTCAAGACCAAGTACATTTTTCCAGTCATCTGTTGTCCATTTTTGTGATCCGTTGTTATAGCCTCAGTTTTCTGTTCTTCCTGACAGGAATAGCAGCCAATATGGTTGCCCGCCATCTGTGCTCATCTGTTTTAAGGTTCAGGGTGTTATGCTTTCAGAAATGCTCCTCTGCATATCTTTGCTATAATGAGTGGTTATTTGTTTTACTGTTGTCTTTCCCATCAGCTGGAAGCAGTCTGGCTATTCCTCATCCCTTAGAGATGGCTGTTTGGAAATGGCTCCTTCTGAACTACTCAGACCAGCCTATCTGGCAACAACAACCATGTCATGTTCAGATCCACTTAAATCACTTTTCTTCCCCATTCTGATGCTCAGTGTGAATTTCAGCAGGTTGTCTTGGCCGTGTCTGCATTACTAAATACATTAAGTTGGTGCTATGTGTGACTGATTCGATATTTGTATTTATGAGCAGTTGTATAATTTCCTCTGGGGTTAATAAACTATTATGTTTCTTATTTAACAGGTGTACCTGAACAAAGTGATGGGTTCAAAAAAATCCATATACAATACAAAATCAAATTTCAACAACGCTATCATATTTTTTACGCGTGAATTAGTCAAGAAAAACAACTTTGTTATTAGCGCCTACAGATTCTATGATCGCTATCGTCCCGCCCATCTGCGTCTCTAGCGTCGATTCACCGGCCTGTTGCTACACAGGCTGCATGACAGGCTGCTGCTGTCCTCGCCCGCTGCTTTGACAGTGCTACCTTTTATCTTTCCGAAGAGGAGCTTATTCGGCCATAACTACAGTTTTGCGAACAGAGCGGGAATACAGCACAACCATGTCCGAGGAAGTTGAAGAAACGAGAACTTCAGAGGAACAGCAGGTAAACTGTAACCACTAAATGGAAAATTACATCAAATTAACACCAGTTAGCCAGTGCTGCTTGGTTAGCTGGCGGCTAGCACCAAGCTAGTTAGCCAGCTGCTAACCTTGACTGAGAGCCTTAGCGATGCTGTCGCTGAATTGGCTAATATTCTGTTAGCGTTTGTTGGTAGAGTAAAATTGTGCTGTTTTGGGTCTGGAAAACAGGTTTCTTCACCGTACATACAAAATTGTACAGTAGCTCATCATGCTAACAGTAACTTTAATGCTAGTGCAAACAGCAGTTTACCTCATGGCGGCGCCGGTATCTAATCAAACAAAGTAATCTGTGACCATAGTATGTGCTGCTGTCAGTATACAACATATTGAAGTTTCGTTATTGTCACGAAAACCAAATTGCAAGTCGAAAGTTTTCCTATCCTTACACATTGCACTCTGTCAACAGGAAATGGAGGACAAGGTAATCAGCCCAGAAAAATCAGAGGAGGCCAAACTGAAGGCCAGATATCCCAACCTTGGAGGCAAGCCAGGGGGATCTGAATTTCTCAGGAAAAGACTCCAGAAGGGGGTGAGTTTTCTCACCTAACTTTGGCTAGCTACTACAATTAAAAGATGTCAGCCTTATAGAGATCTCACTCTGTTTATTCTTGTTTACAGCAAAAGTATTTTGATTCTGGGGACTACAACATGGCCAAGGCAAAAATGAAGAATAAACAGTTGCCATCCGCCCCAACGGAGAAGACTGAGATCACAGGGGGACACATCCCAACACCCCAGGACCTGCCTCAAAGAAAAACTTCCATTGTGGCCAGTAAACTGGCTGGTTGATGGTTTTATGTTTACTGTTTTGCTACTATTCCCATGTCCATTTAATATCTACTTCGCACACTGTTTACATTTTGTTTATTTTTCTCCTTTTGTTTGTATTCTGTAAGAACAAGTCATGTAACAAGCCAAATACTTGAAGAATTGGCAACTGTGAGGCACTGGGGCATCAGTGAGACAAATTCAGCTAAGTGAAAGTGTTTCTCAGGCTCTTAAAGACTCAATACATTGATATTTCCTGAACAGTTATCACACTTATATATTTAGATGTTATGGCTATCTTATGTTGACAAATTATTTCGCTTTTAAGAATATATGCCTCCAAAGTAAATGCTTGAAAGCTTGTGAAAAGGTTCCATTTTCCTCTTTGTTCCCGCTCATTAGGCTAGAAACAGAACTATGAACAGAAAATTGAATTTACAGCAATTTGAGGGATCCCATGCTCTTATGGAGACATTTTAATGGTGAAAAGTCAATAATCCTCCATTTATGTTTTTTCCTTCTACTCTGTTTACGTCCCTCGTTTTCTCTGTCATGCTACTTGATTCCATGCTTTGAAGTTCTCAAGACTAGCTTTGTATCCAGTTGTGTTTAAGTCTAATTAGTAACATTGGTTTGCATTGACTTGCTGCTGGTCTCAATCTCATCCTGACCTCTAAAATGGCCTTAAAATGAATGAATGGTTTCTCTTGAGCAATATTTGCTCCCTCTGTTAGAATATTAGTTGTGAATCTTGCCTGAAATGTCCTTCACTGTCTGACTGGGATTTATGATTTTATGGAAACAAACTCCCCTGTCATGTCTGGAGTGTGCATGTGCATTTACTGTGCAGTCGCACTGTGCCATTTGTTTTGTAAATAAAAATAGTTTTGCATAATAGCTTACACTTTTTCAGTGGAATTTGTCCTTGCATGATTTTTTTTTTTTATGCTTCAATTTTACTAAGAAACAAAACTACAGAAGAACTGCTTGAAATGTTTCTATTGCATTGATGTATTTATAAAAAATATATTTTACTTTTTATATTGTGTTTTATATTGAATAATTTTTAGTTAGTATACAGACACATTCTGAGGTGTGCAAGTAAATTACCCCATGCCACTGAGCTGGAACCTGTTTATATTACAATGCCCAAAACCATTGGATGAGAGCATGAATAGAGTGGTGAAATGTACCCGTACTCTCAAGTATTTCAATGGTATGCCCATTTCTACATTTGCTCCATAATATTTTGTATGCAAATAATATGCATGTTAATGAATCAATACCGATGATTCAATGATGTACACTCACTTGCCACTTTGCTAAGAAGACCAGTTCAACTGCCAATAAGCCAGTTTGTTTGAGATTCAGCAGGACCACAGAAACTCAGTCCAATTAGGCATGTAGACATGATCAAGACAACCTGCTGAAGTTCAAACCAACTGTCAGAATGGGGGGGAAAGGTGAATGTGGCATGGTTGTTTGAGGCAGACAGGCTGGTTTCTATCTTTATTTCAGAAACTGCTAATCTATTGGGATTTTTCTGTGAGCGTGTATGATTCTGTGTAGTGGGTACTTTAACTTTTTGCACTAACACTTAAACAGGACTTTGACTTCAGGTAAAGACTATAATCAAATGGAACTGGCCCATGAAGCATCTCAATCTGGCTATCCTTAAAGTGAAACAACCTCAGCCTCTCATCAACCTACAGACAAACGGAGGCATGGTGGCAATAGTTTGACTTAAATGACTAACAAAAGTCCATATTGCTATTTCATTCAATTTCAGCCAGGTGCTCCACTCATGTTCAGACAAACCTACGATGAAAGAATATTCATTCTAATAATAATGTTTCTGCAGCATTGACACAATCTTATGTCATTGTTGGGTTTTGAAAAACTCACTCAAATGTGTTGACTAACAACATTTCCTATATTTTAACGTAATTTAATAATGTGATTTTCTCTTCATATCTAAGAAGCAGACTGATATGAAGTCAGTGAAAGGTCACATTATGCACAGCATAAAAACCGTCTAAATACTTTTTCCACTGCCCTGCAAAAACAGTTTGTTAATACAAGAAGATGTGATCTTCTGCGCAGTGCCCCGTGATGCTCCCTGTGGACAAGTAATGATTTCGAAAGAGTAATATTTTCCACTATAATTAGTAGCTCCGCGGTTACAGTGTGGCGTTGTCCTCGCGGGCTGAGATAAGTTTGCTGGCCGCTGGGAGGCACGCAAGACGCACGAGAGCAAACCGTGCCTGAGCACGCGCATGTGTTGAATCCCACTCTCCGCTAGGCGCTCGGAGTCCCAGAGAGCGGAGGAGGAGAGGAGAAAAGTTAATGGCATTCTACTCCGGGAGTCAGTAAAAATGCTCGGCGCCTCTCTTCGCGGTAGGAAAACGTTTGAGCAGGCTCACTGAGGACGTTAAAAAGATGGCAGCCGCTGAACTTTACTCCAAGGTAGGTTTGAATTTGACTATCAGGTATCCAGCTTCTCCACCCAGCTGAGTTAGTCAACTTTTAGGTAACTGTCAAGTATGGCGTTTTTCTCATAGGAGTGTCTGCTTAAATGAAGAGTTTAAGAACTCTTCATTTAGTAAAGGTCTTTAAATCAGACCTTTAGACTGTGTCAGCGCTGATGATATGAGTGAATGCTGTCTGGCAGCTTCATAATTGCTATTTTTTAATTTTCCTGTCACTGATGTTTATGCTGTAGTTTTTTGTGCGGTTTCTGTAAGTGCAATGGTTGAATGGCTCTGACCCGTTTCCCCTCAGTATGCCCGTGTATGGCTCCCAGATGCAGCAGAAGTGTGGAAATCAGCAGAGCTTACCAAAGACTACACTCCTGGCGACCAGACGCTGTCTCTGCAGCTGGAGGATGGCACGGTGAGACAATTAAATACCAACTACTGTACATACGGGACACACAAGAGTTTCACACAGAGGCACTGAAATGGACATTGATCTTCTGTCTGAGAGCCATGCACACATTTCTCTGCAGGAACGCTGGCAACAGAGCCTCATAAATTTCTATGTGCCCTGAAGGATTATTTGAGACAGCTGAGTTGTTTGATGAGCGCACAAAAATCCTTAAAAAACACTTAAAGAAGTCAACAAATCCATTCGCTGGCTTCAAAATAGGTGGAAAATAAGAAAAATTATGTGGTGAAAGAGTTATCCTCAGCTATGCTGCTGCCTGCAGCTATGATGTCGAGTTTGGGCATGCACAGCAGGTATGAAAATGAGGTCGAAGCTTTATCGTGAGTGAACATGAACAGGGGGAGCACAGTGGCTGCTTTTTAGCTTCATCATTAGGCACACCTGGTGATGCCATTCCTTAAAAGTGGAAGCAACTTACTCTCTTCTCTTCTTCATGTTTTGCTACCTTTTTGTGTCTTTCTAGAAAGTGGAGCACAAAATAGACCCACGTACCAACAACCTGCCACCACTAAGAAACCCAGATATCCTGGTGGGGGAGAATGACCTCACAGCTCTCAGCTATCTCCATGAGCCAGCAGTGCTACACAACCTCAAAGTGCGCTTTATCGACTCCAGGTTGATTTACACATACTGTGGTAATGAGCGACATTTCCTTTGACTCGCACTATCACTGTCACTGTAGACTTTGGAGCTCTGCTCACTGTACACTCTGACATAATCTGCACTACGTTATGCTGATGTATGTGCTGCAGGTCGCTTTTAAAGGAACACAGCACCATATAATACCGGATACTGCAAATAAGTGAATTAAGTGAAAGCTAATGGATACTTGATTTTACCACCTTGTAGCTGGCGGTTGGTTCCCAGTGGACATTCCTGTGCTCCTGTTGCCTACAATAATGTGAAAAACAACGTTTATTTTGACTATAGGCAGCCTGGGCCACACATTGGCTCTAGAATATTTTGGTATACTGAGAAGTTCATTGTGAACTCTGACTCCAAGATGACCAGATCCTGTGTGTGCAAACAAGCCCAAATCATCACCCCTCCACCAACATGGTTCAAAGTTGAATACAGGTGTTTGTGCTGCTCTGTTTTTTTTTTTTTTATATGGTGCTATGGTGGTCATACTTGTGGATGATCAGTTAACTACAGGTCATTTGATTAGCTGAACTTGCTTTTTACCCTGTTAATGCCTATACCATCAGTAAGAGCATATTTAGATTTTCACAGGACTGCATTGAGTTCTGTGAATATTTTGTTTTCTGCATGAGTCTAGGTAAGCCTCTAATATATTTACCACCCTGTCATGTAGTTCCAGGTCCATAGTTAGTTGGATAAAACCACATTTCTTTTGAAGTATTGCCTCTCAACACCAACAACACCTGTGGATTTTCATATAACAAATTTTTCAAACAATCAAGATGGGATTGAAGTGCAATTTTTCAGCTTTAATCAAAGGGGCGTTTTTCAGAGCTCAAAGTTAATTGTAAAACTAACAGTCATTTTAACAATAGAGATTGTTTTTGATTTCTGGTTGAAAATCCTGGTGCTTGTTTGTGGATCTTTCTAGATTTGGTTTTGTCTTCAGTAAATAAAAGCATGCTCTTTTTGGGTTGAGATCAGGTGTCTGACTGGAGACACTGAATTGAAGACATTAACAAGAATATGCCTTACAAAACTCTTGAGGTACTTTTGCAATATGCTTTGGGTCATTATCCATTTACAATATTAAACTCTGTCTGATCAGTTTTGGTGCATTTGGCTGAATCTGTATAGCCCTGCACACTTCATCCTGTTACTGCTATCAGCAGTCACATCATCAGTAAACACTAGTGGCCCAGTTCCACTGGCAGCCATGCATGGCCACACCATAACATTGCCTCCACCATGTTTTACAGAGTGTGTTATGCTTCAGATCAAGTTCACCTTTTCATTTCTACAAGGATTTTTTTTTCTTTCTTTCCAGAACTGTGCTGCCTCTGTTAGACGATTTCTGGCAAAATCTGGTCTTCTTGTTCTTGAGTGTAACGAGTGGTTTGCATCTTGTTGTAAACCCTCTGCATTTACACTCATGAAAGTGTCCCTTGATCATAAAGCTTGACATTTAGTTGCAGAGTGTTCTTGACTTGGTTAGATGTTGTGAAATAGTTTTTCTTATCCCTGGAAATAATTCTGTAATCGTGCACTTTTGTGGTCTTTCATGTCTTTTGGTGTTGCTGGATTTATTGTTGTTGTTTTTTAAGACTGTTTGTTGGCTGCTCCTAAAATTATTGCTATCTCTTTGACAAGTTTATTTTTAGTTTTTCCCCCCAGCCTAAAGAGTTCCTCTCTTACTTGCACTGACATCTCTCTGAGCCTCATATTTAAAATTACAGTGAAAAGCTATAATATGCAAAGTCAACGTTGAATTCACTTCAGATAATATGTCGTCTCAATTTGTCTTGAAACACTGATGGTACAGGCCTCACCTAACCCTGCTTGAAAATAAAAGTTGATAAAATTTCTAAAACAGTTATTGCCATTTTATTTTTTAACTCCTTGAAATTAAGCTGGAAGCTTATGCTTCAGTCAGACCTTGATTGTTTTAAGTCCCTGGTGGTGGTATACAGAGACAAAATTACAAATATGGCTATTGTGCAACAAATTATGGATGACGAATGTCGTCCCTTTCTAGGGTCTCTGGTTGCCAGAGTCACTGCCTGTGTGTGTGGATGTGATGAGTGAAACAACATACTCACTGAAAAAAGACGTGCCAGTCAGAAGTCATTGTGAGCATATCCTGGATTATTTTCTCCCAGACTCTTGCACAAGTCTTTTTTCGTCCATAATGGTATCACGAGGCTGAAAACAAAAGGCGACAGAGCTTTTGTAACTGTGGCCCCCAGACTGTGGAACTCTCTCCCTTTGAGCTTGAGATCTGTGGATTCAGTGGTTTCTTCTAAAAACCCATCTTTTTAAACTTGCTTTTGGTTGATTTTTGTTTTTATGTTTTAGCTTCTCTGTGAAGCACTTTGTGATTTTTATCTTGAAAGGTGCTATATAAATACATTTTTACTTACTTTACTTACCCTCTGGTGGCTGTCAGAAACAATGCAAGTTTAAGTTATACATACACATATGCGTATATACACATACTATATATATGTACAGACTTCTTTCTAGTGGAGGGCTTAGCATAATTTGTCTTACCCAAGCTGTTTTTTTCCCCCCAAAACTATTTTATCAGCTTTATCAGATTAAGAGACTGATGTTCATTCATGTTTGTTCATTTTTGTCATATTTGTTTATTTCTGGATATAAAGAAAGTGAAATTGTTTTGGTTCCACTGTAAATGCTTTTGATATATTTTCATTTACCAAATTTGAGTAATACGTTGAACAATCTGATAACCAGTCTGCTTTTGCAGCTTGTTTGCCGTGGTAGAGTTTAAATACATGGGAAGAAGTAGTTTTAGACAATTCATAATGTTGTAATTGAGTGTGAACATTTTTCTTGTGGTTGATTTTTAGGAATTGTCCTGGTTGCCATCAATCCGTATGAGAGAGTGCCCATCTATGACGCTGGCATCATTAATGCCTACAGCGGACAAAACATGGGGGATATGGATCCCCACATCTTTGCAGTTGCAGAGGAGGCATATAAACAGATGGCCAGGTGTTGACATTTCAAAGTACATATCATGTTAAACTTTAAAATTAGTAAATTCTTTTGTATTTCCTCTTACTAATGTTCAGTCTGTATGACCCTTTATTCCAGGGATGAAAGAAATCAGTCCATTATAGTAAGTGGTGAGTCTGGGGCTGGCAAAACCGTCTCTGCCAAGTATGCAATGCGTTACTTTGCAACAGTCAGCTCCTCTGGAGAGGCCAATGTGGAGGAGCGAGTTCTTGCATCCAGTCCCATCATGGAGGTAAAGGACTTAGGACAAAAATAGAAGATATTAAAAGTTACTGAACATCTGTACGTATATTGATGTTATTTATGTTATACACTAAATTTGTACATGTGTCATTGTTTTCAGTTTTGTGTCCAATTTTGTTGTTGTTGTTTTTTAAAAAAAACTTATTTACCCTTTCATTTCATTTAATTGCAACTGTAGCATTAATCATGATGCAACTTTCTCTGCCTGTGGTCTACATGTCTCTGCAACAATTAATTTAGGCTTTTGATTATGCCACTAAGCACTAACAGATTGTTTGAGCATGACAACTGCAGCAAGACAAATAAATTAGAAATAGATTAGGATCCAGAACAGCAGACCGGGACCTTTACAGAAAACCCTGCAACTATCACTTCTGAGTGCCAAACACATGCCTGATCATCTACATCAGAATTCCCTGTCCATGGTCAGAGCTTCATCTTATTTTAACTTGTTGAACTGAACCTTTTTATGTTTTATGTAGGCCCTTGGAAATGCCAAGACAACAAGGAACGACAACAGCAGCCGCTTTGGAAAATACATTGAGATTGGGTTTGACACAAAGTATTGTATAACTGGGGCTAACATGAGAACCTACTTACTGGAAAAGTCTCGAGTTGTGTTTCAGGTAAATTTCATTTCTTTGGATTTTACTTGAATATTTGATCTTTTTATATGAAGCATTTCTCCTGAATATGAAGCTATTTTAAAGCACTGTAATGTTTGTGTAACAGTGTGTTTAATGCGCAGTGTAGTAACAATGAACCATAAACAACCCACTGTTTGATCTGTCTGGGAGAACACCAGCTATTTTTAAGGCAACATTTAGTTTGAATTTCTGCCTAATTTTACTAAGTTTTCTTTGTGGTACGTTTTCGTGGTAACTATGTTACATCTGTATTCACAACTTTAGGCCCACGGTGAAAGGAACTACCATATATTCTACCAGCTATGTGCCTCTTCACATTTACCAGAGTTCAAAGCCTTCAAGTTAGGTGTGCAATTCTCTAAAATATAAATTTCCTTTAGGCATTTAAAAAAATAAAAATAAAACATTTTGCAATTGCAGTTGTCTGTATTAATATAGTATTTTCTTTCACTAATGAGGTAAGATTGCGCAGATGACTTCCACTGCACTAATCAGGGTCAGAGCCCAGTCATAGATGGAGTGGATGATGCCAAAGAAATGTGCAATACCCGTAGGTCTTTCTCACTGTTAGGTGAGTGTTTGCTGTGTTTTAGTAAGGTTTACATGTGCATGTAGAGCAGATCGTTTGATGATTGTGTTATAGAGTTTTGTTTGACACATAAGCCCAAAGTGGGAAGGACGCAACATTTAATTCACATTATTTTCATTTTCAAAACTTTCAGTGACTCGTGAGATCCAATGAGTCTGGCCATTTTCTTGCTGAAAGAACAATTCCCTTTGGGGGGAAAAATGTTTCTTTGTAAAGATGATAATTTAGAATAACTTTGTACTGAGTTGGAGTTACTTTTGCTTTAAGGCAGTGGCATCAAACATGTTGCCCAGGGGCCAGAACTGGCAGGCCAGTAGGTCTAATTCAGCCTCTGGATAGCATGATATCTTCAATTTTGATGGAGTGATCTGAACACTGTAAAAGAGTGATATTAAATTGTGCAGAAAGTATTTTTGGATGGCCACAAGTTGTTTGATTCATACACAGTAAAATAGCTACACAAACTGTACTCTCTGTGCTTTGCAGGTCCAGTGTGAATAATGTGAAACATTACAGAAATGAACTTCATGTGGTTCCTTAAATGCAAACATTGTAGAACATGCATGCACTTCTTCACATTAAGTAAACATGTTTTCTGTCCAGTCCACTTGAGATTAAATTGGGCTATATGCTGGCAATTAACTAAAGCCCCCCTCTTATAGAAACATGGGAACCCCTCACTATAGGGGTCAAGGGTTTATTTGTCATTCATCTGTACAGTCTTGGTTTTGGACTCAGTGACATTATAAATCCTCATTTATTGTCTCGATTGTAGGAATTGGGGAAAGTGATCAAATGGAAATTTACCAAATTCTGTCAGCTATTCTTCATCTTAGCAATGTGGAGGTAAAAGACCAGTCAGCAGACAGATGCAGCATAAAGGTAAACATTATTTTTCACAGAACACAACATACAATTTTATAATTTTTAAAAAATATATAATTGTATGAATGTTCCTTTGAGGATGTGTAGGTCTTTATCAGATCAATGTTATTCATGTATTTCCAGCAGGATGATGTCCACCTGATGGTTTTCTGTGACCTGATGGGAGTGCCTTGTGAAGAAATGGCCCACTGGTTATGCCACAGGAAGCTCAAGACAACCACGGAAACCTTTGTTAAGCCTGTTCCCAAAATGAACGCGATCTATGGCCGAGATGCCCTAGCCAAACACATTTATGCCAGACTCTTCAGCTGGATTGTGGACAGTATCAACAGTGCCTTAAAATCCACAGTGAAGCAGCACTCATTCATTGGTGTGCTCGACATTTACGGGTCTGTTTTTGAACACTAGCTTTGCTGTTCATGTCTCTGTTTATACTCTGCAGTTCACCAGATATGTTTGTTTTTAATTTAACCTTGTATTTTTCCTCAGGTTCGAAACTTTTGACATCAACAGCTTCGAACAGTTCTGCATCAACTATGCAAATGAAAAGCTTCAACAACAGTTCAATCTGGTATGTGTCTTTTTCTCTTCAAAATGTTTTTACATATTTATTTATTTTGAACGATAATGACAGATCTTATTATCTTATGTTTTGTTTTTTTTTGTCAAAACATATACTACCTGTAAATCATTTTTAGCTCCCATTCTTTCCAGCATGTCTTCAAACTGGAACAAGAGGAGTACATGAAAGAGGAAATCCCTTGGACACTGATTGACTTCTATGACAATCAGCCTTGTATTAATCTCATCGAAGCCAAACTGGGCGTCCTGGACCTTCTGGATGAGGAGTGTAAGGTAAAATGCTGTTTTTGTTTATTTTCTTCCCACCAGAAGTGTGTCCAGCTGCTTTTCAGACTCTCCGCCACACTGTGCTTGGAGGTTATGAGTAATGCCGTGACTAACTGATGTGTCAGCTCTTCCTCTTTCCACAGATGCCCAAAGGATCTGACGAAACATGGGCACAGAAGCTGTACAACACCCTCCTGAAGCAGAATGCTCACTTTGAAAAACCAAGGTTGTCAAATAGAGCTTTCATCATCCACCACTTTGCTGACAAGGTGAAAAGGAATTGTATGGCTTACGCTAATGTGCCCTTGCTTCAGCTTGAAGGGTTCAAGATCTTTTTCTGTTGTGTGTTCGTGGGTTTTCTCCAGGTGTCTCAAATGAACTTTAACTGAATTGCTTGTGTGTGCAAATGTGTGTAATTGTGACTTGATTGGTTACTGACTACTCTGTGGTATAAACCCATGCTTTTGCCCAGCGTGTGCTGGGATTAGCTCCAGCTCTCCATATCCTGAACAGAACAAGCAGTGTGGAAACAGACGGATGAGTGACTCATTTACTAAGCAAAACTAAAAACAGTGAAGTTGTACCTGTCTGCAAAGTCAAAATTCATACCTTTCCCACAAATGTTTGATTCATATGATTCTGTTTATTGAAGCCATACCACTCAGTCTGCTTCAGGCTTTGGGTGAATATGATCTTTGCTCTTTTAGTGAGAGAACACAGTCTGACCTGGTCCTTTGTGCTTAGGTGGAGTATCAGTGTGTGGGCTTCCTGGAGAAAAATAAGGACACAGTCAATGAAGAACAGATTAATGTGCTGAAAAAGAGCAAGGTGAACTTATAAACTTTCTGTTGTTTATTATATTCTCACTTCTGCTAATATTCAGGGGTTTTTTTTGTTTGTTTGTTTTTTGTGTAAAAGCATTCAGAAGGTTTAAATTTCAGCATCACTTTGCCAAGATCAAATGTCGTAAGTTTGTGGGCACACACCCTTGAATTGTTCAGGCATAACTATTGAAGGAAGTACACACTTGTCTGCATTGAAAATGCTGCCATCTGCTGTTCACTGATTACTTCTGTTGTTTCAGTTTGATCTGCTGCTGAAGCTATTTGAGGATGATGAGCAGGCAGCAAATTCTTCTAACAAACTTACAAGCAGCATTGGAAGGGCTGGATCAGCTAAGAAGGATACTAAGAAGACTGTTGGACTGCAGGTAAGAAAATGACTCACAGGTAACTCTTTGACTGTTTTCCCCCCTTTTTTTTCCAGTCTTTATTTTGGTAGAACATTAACGAGCAAACAGGAAATTACGGTGAAAGTGAGGGAGGCATGAAGAATATGGTTTGGGGTGGAACCCAGGCTTCTCTGGCCTTCTCAACATAAAGGTTGGATGTACAGCCAGTTGAGTGGCAACCACCCCAAGGAACATTTCCACTCACATAACTCTCGTACTATAGACGGCCATGACATTGGACAGAATTACAGGGTTTTAGCTGGTCTTTCTTGTAACTGTGTGCTAATGAATTCTGTAAAGTGGTACAGTGTCTCATTATGTAAGCATAACCATTGTAAAGATGAATTTATCACAGTGTTAGTTAAACCTGTAATAACCAGCTTGTGCAGAACAGACAGAGAAGCCGATATGCTTTGATTTAACTGTTGATTTGTACTCCATGTTCACTAAAGTACTCATATTTAAGTTTTTTTGCCCTTCTTTATAACTGTTAAATTATAAAGAAGCGTTGTGAATGTGATGTTTGATTGTTCTGAAGTCCCTGTTCTCAAAGCCTGGAGAGCATGCATGATTGTGGACATTGTATCAGCTGTTCAGGTTCAAGTCTGTTTAGGATCCTTGCATGATGGGGGAGAATTAAAACAAACATGGAAATTTATAGTAACTGACCATATTAATTATTGTATTTTTTTATTCTCTTAGGAAGAATTAAATCTTGTCTTTTTATTCAGTTTCGACAGTCCCTCCATTTGCTGATGGAAACACTAAATGCTACAACTCCTCACTACGTGCGCTGCATCAAACCAAATGACCATAAAGCTCCGTTCACGTGAGGCAGATTTTGCTTTTTGTTGTTGTTTTTTTTTTTGTTTCCCACTTTTTCTTCATACAGCTATGTTCAACAAGAACAGATTAAAGGTTGTGCGCTTATGTTATTTTAAATAAAGATTGGACCCTGTGAGGGCTGTACAACAGCTTCGAGCATGCGGTATCCTCGAAACTATCCGGATCTCAGCAGCAGGCTTCCCATCAAGGTAGCATATCAGCAAGCACTTCTGATACAGAGCAAAGAGCCACGAGAAGCTGTTAAAAATTTTTGCAATAGATAATCCTATATAAATTATAGATATAATTTATAATCTGATTATTGCAGGTGGACCTATCAGGAATTTTTTAGCCGCTATCGGGTTCTCATGAAGCAAAAGGACTTGCTTCCTGATAGAAAACAGACCTGCAAAAATCTCCTGGAAAAACTTATAAAGGTATGGGTGTGTTTTATAAAATCAGCTTTCACAGGCTCACTTTAATGTGATATAATACATATTGGACTGTGGGGTTTTTTTTGTTTGTTTGTTTTAGGACCAGGGGAAATACCAGTTTGGCAAAAACAAGATCTTCTTCAGAGCTGGCCAGGTGGCTTTCTTGGAGAAGCTGCGCTCGGACAAATTGCGTATGGCTTGTGTCTGCATCCAGAAGACTATTCGCTGCTGGCTGGCACGCAAAAAGTACCTGAGGATGAGGGAGTCTGCCATTACTATTCAGAAACATGTACGGGGTCACCAGGCACGCTGGTAAGTGGGGATGCCAAACAAGAGCAGAAGTTTGATTTTAGAAACTTTATGGATATTTTAGATGTATTTCTGAAATGCTTTTTTCTGTCAGTTACGCCAAGTTTCTGCGGCAAACCAGAGCAGCTATTATCATTCAACGCAATGTGCGAATGTGGTCGAAAAGGAAACTCTACCAGCAGCAGCGTTCTGCAGCTATCACTATTCAGTGCTTGTGGAGGGCTCACATGGCTAGAAAGCAGTACCATAAGGTAACATCATGTTGATCTGTAGACGTTTACTATATCCTACCTATTTTTTTCTGCTGTATTCATTGAGAGATTTGAATGCTAATCAATAAACAAAAAAATAAACAATATAAGGTGACCAGGAAAAAGAGCATCTTTGCCTAATAATGTGGGATATGTTACAAATGAGACGTATTTAGCATCTGAACACATTATATTTAAAGGCAGTCTTCCCAACCCTTTCACTAAGTCAATGCAGTGAGCATAAAAATAAGCTAAAGTTTAATTCTTATGCGTTATGTCTTTTTATTCTTATGTATTCTTCTTTTTTTTCCTGGGTAAGGTTTAAAATGATTATTTTAATAGCTGTTTCTGCTGGTAATCATCACTGTATCCATCAAGTGGTATATGTTTTGAGCTTTAAGTTTCTTGTGAGAACACAGACAGTTATTAGAAGTTTCCTGATTTTAGCTGTAGCTGAACTTCCTTTTAATTGTGGTATTTTTTATTGAATGTAGTGCGGCTTGTGACCTTGTGATGATGTGCTGTTTTCCGCCTTGGGTTTTAGCCCCCGGAAACCCAAGCCTGCCCTCACTTCCATTCAGTGAAAGCCAGATTATTTTTTTAATGCTTCTGTCTTACAGCAGTGACTTTTGAAAACCTCTCATTACGTGGGAGAAAAACACAGTGCAGACCCACATAAAGAATGACGTCTGCATGCTCTATGTCTATATGATTCTCAAGTTAAAATGTGTAATTAATGATGTTTGAAACTGAAATGGTCTGGGATTATTCGTGTAAGACAGAGATGCACTTCTAACAGACTTCATTTTTTTTAAATATATGATAAGCACTATGTATAAGTAACTGTATTTTTTTTAAGTGAAAGTCTTTTACTTCACTTTTAAATAAGACGTTATGGACTTGCTTTTGCCCTTCTTTGTTTTCACAGTTGATGTATGAGAAAAAGGCAATGGTCATTCAGAAGTGGGTGAAAGGCTGGCTGGCCAGACAGCATTACAAGCGCATCCTGGCAGCCATTATCCTGCTGCAGAGTTGTGTGCGTCGCATGAGGGCAAAGAGGGAACTAAAGAAGCTGAAAGTAGAAGCACGCTCTGTGGCGCACTTCAAGAAGCTCAATATTGGCATGGAGAACAAGATTATGCAGTTGCAGCACAAGATAAATGAGCAGGTGGGTATTGTGTGAGTATGGAGGTCTAGATTTGTATGAGGTATGTATTTGATTACTCTGTCACAAGAAAAAAAGTTCATTGGGAGTTGTCATATCACATGAACAGCATGTGTTTGTACCCCCCCTCCCGCAGCAAAAGGAAAACAGAGAACTCAGTGAGAAGCTGAGTGTTACGGAGAAAGCTCAGACTATGGAGATAGAGAGACAGAGCAGTGAGATAGAAAACCTGCGTAGATCAGAGCAAGAGGCCAGAGCTAAAGCAGAAAGGCTACCCTCACTGCTGGAGCAGCTCTCCTTCCTCCAGCACGAACTGGAAAACACCCGCAGAGAGAAGGAAGACCTGGAAGAGCAGACAAAGGTCTACAAGGAGCAGACAGAGCAGGTAAGCCGTTATTCCAGTCTTCGAAATTTGCCTCAAACCTTGACCTGACTTTTTTTCATACCTGTTAATTATAAGAAAAGGTGACATCGTAGATTAATGACACAATGTCACATGCAATTTAGATAATATTGTATTCCATAACACCTCAGACTATAGAGAATAATAAGTTGCCTTACTGTAAATGTTGAATAAAGAGTGTTATATGACAGAAAGCAATTTTATATATTTGGTGGCAAGAGGACCTTAAAATGTGTCATTTTCCAAAGAATGAACAGAAATAATATCTGATGATTATGTCCACTCTCACAATCAGGTGGTAGATGAACTTAACACGAAGAACAACTTGTTGAAAAATGACGTAGATGAACTGAACAAGCAAATCATTGAACAAGCACAACAGCGGACAGGTACTAAACGGTTACTGTTACTGTCCTTTACTAGTCATCAATAATTCCTGACACTTAGAAAAAAAATATGCATAAAGAAAACTGTTTTGACCCAGAGATTCAAACCAACGTTGAGAACACCAAACAGCTGGAGCAGGACTTGACTGAGGAACGTTCTCGATACCAAAGTCTGCTGAGCGAACACCTGCATCTGGAGGAGCGGCACAGAGACCTGAAGGAACAGATGGATCTCAACACTGTGAGGAACTATACTTAGTATTCAAACACACATTAGGAATTTCAAGCATAACTTACAAACCATGACCAGTTTTTACATGGTTACAATGACTTACAGAGCATACCGAAGCCAGCTATAAGTACGAGACAAAGACTAAGTGCTGCAAACATAGGAATGCTTGTCATGTTTATTCCCTGTATGACATGTTGTCTTTTTCATTTTCACCTAGACTTCAAGCAAATCTAGTCTGAAGAGGACAGACTCCAACTACAGCAGTAACTCATCTGAGTTTAGTCAGAGCTTAGGCTCTACTGAGGGTGAAGAAAGCTCTGTACAAACAGAGGTATGAAATACTCGCCTGTCTGTCAGCTTTGAGGTGGCTGTGAAGCATTTTTACAAGGAGGAATTTTACAAGTAACACGTTTTTATGAGGCACTTCAGAAGGACGGTTCTGGGTAGAGTTCGCATGTTATCTATGTGGGTTTCCTCTAGGCACTGGATACTCCTTCCTCAGATCATCTGTGGGAAGATTTCTTTCTGGCAATGTCTGTGTTATAATCCTATTAGTGCAGCATTCTTAGTTAGATTCTAAAGAGATCAACCAGAGCTTGCTGTGTTTTGTTAGGATGAGACCCAGACTGCAGTGGACCTGCCAGTCCTCTTGAAGCTTCAGAGGAGAGTGAAAGAGCTGGAGCAGGAGAAACAGTCACTATGGCAGCAGCTGGATAAACGAGAGGAAGACCAGCAAGAAAAAGCAAAAGTATGAATGCAATTTTTCTCTCTCCAAAAAATGTAAAATTGTAAAGCTGCTTTTTTTTTCTTAAAGGGTTTTGGTGATTTTATTTATTATTATTTATTGATATTTTTCAAAATAAAAGGAGGTCGAGGAACAGAGAACAAGTGGAAGAGCAGAACTGGACTTGGAAACACTGAAGGTGTGATGCTCTGTGGTTCAGTTTCAGCATGCCAGAAATAAAATGCCCACAAATAGTTTTAACATATTACCACAGTCTATAATAACCTTTCTTTGTACTGAAATACTGAAAGATGATTATAAACAAAATATATTTATTGATTCTTTTTGTTTTTTTGTCTTTCTTGTTTCTAAATGTCTCGATGCAGCGACAAGAACTGGAGTCTGAGAACAAGAAATTGAAGCAGGATCTAAATGAGCTGCGAAAGTCTCTGACTAATGAGAACAGTGATTTAGTGCCCCCTGCCCCTGGTTCTCTGCCCTACAAAGTCCTGCTGGAGCAACTCAATTCTTCCATGGAGGAGCTGGAGATGAGAAAAGAGGAGGTGCTGCTCCTGCGGTCGCATTTGGTGCGCCAAGAGGCTCTTAAACACAAGGTGAAAAATTGAATGATACTGTTGTTATTCCCATTAAAAGAAATAGAAATACATTCATTTAAAACACAGTATTTTCATTAAAATGTATAATGAACAGTAATTAGAGGGATATAATATTGATCTGACTTGCAGGACTCTGCACTGGGAGAAGGCGTGAAATTGGATCTCAGTGAAATTCCCTCATATCAAGACGTTCACAAGTAAGACCTCCTGGCTTCTGCTGAAATATTAATGTTCCTGAAAAATCTGAATGCAATGAATTCATTTTCAAAAAGGCCATTAAAGGTAAAAAAAAAAAAGTCTTCTGTGTGCTGGAGGTAATATGAGTAATAATTTGTGATTTTTGAATTTGCACTGACTGGTAATTTTTTTTTATTTTTCTGGGGGAGGTGAAACACTGTCACTACCGAAATGTCTCATGTGTTAAGCAAAGATAATTACTTGTTTGGTTTATCCATCTCTTTTGGCTTTAATACTTGTGTGCAATGTTCCCTCTAAGCTGCGCGGGTGCACAATTGTGCACTGCTGGCACAATCTCTACGCACAGAAAATCTGCGACAACTTATGAGTTGTTATTATTTATTATTTGTATATTATCTTATGTGGAGTTAGAATGTCTTAAAATGAACTTTCATGTTGTGATGCTCCAATTACTCAGATCCACTGACATCCACACACTGAATGAAGATGGAGAGCTGTGGCTGGCTTATGAAGGCTTGAAAGAGACAAATAGGTAATGAAGTAATAATAGTCAGGACTTATTAAAGCAAGTTCATGTTCAAGGCCATTGAAAGCTATCCCTCCATCCTGCAGGCTTCTGGAGTACCAGATGCACGAGCAGGAACGGGTTCAAAATGAGAGGTACATGAAGCTGGTAGAGGAGATGAACAAGCTGAAGGATGAAAAGGAGCAGCAGCAGAAGATGTTGGCTCAGAGCCTCCTCTTGCCTGAAGATGCCCGAATTGAAGCAAGCTTGAAGCTTGAGATTACACGGCTGACCAGAGAGAACCTGGTGGGTTTATCCAACATCTATCGCTCTGCCTTAAAGTAAAGTGGTAGTAATAGTAATATTAGTAATACTTTTAGTTTCACAGTTTCAGTAACAAATACCTCTCTGCCATGTAATAGCCTTAAAATAATAATGTAATCATGGAATTTTAGGAACTTCTGGAACAGCAAGAGAAACAAGACAAAACCATAAGAAAGCTGAAAAAACAACTTAAATTTTACATGAAAAAGGTTGAAGATTTTGAAGGTAAACACAAAGAACTGAGTTTGTACATAGTTACACTTATTTTTAAGAGCATGTTAGCAATAATCCTGTCATTGCTTATATTATGTTATTGCTGTGTTTAGTGAGCACTGAGCAAGAGACCAGACGCTCAGTGGTGAGTCCTCCTGGCAGAGCAGTGAACATCACCCGCAAGGAGAAGGAGTACCAGGGCATGTTGGAGTACAAGCAGGGTGACGAGAGCCGGTTGCTTAAGAATCTGGTCATAGGTGGGACAAACATATGTTCAAGGAAATAATAAAATGTGGTTGATGTTTTTTGTAATGAAATGGTTCAATCTGCTCAGATCTGAAGCCTCGCGGTGTTGCCATCAGCTTCACTCCAGGCCTTCCTGCCTACATCATCTTCATGTGCGTACGATATGCAGACATTGTGAATGACGATCAGAGAGTTAGCGCTCTGCTAAATTCAACCATCAGCAGCATCAAAGGGGTCATCAAGGTGCAGTATATAACTTAAATCTGCATTATTAAAGTAAGTGACGCTTTTAGTTTGATTTAATTTTTATAATCTTTCTGCAGAGGAGAGGAAATGACTTTGAAGTGGTGTCTTTCTGGCTGGCTAACACCTGCCGGTTAATGCACTGTCTGAAGCAGTACAGTGGTGATGAGGTAAGCTTGAAAGTTTGCCAGTATACCAGTGTTATTTATGTAGCTGTACATAGAACTTAATTAATCCTACATATCTGTACGACTTTTGTGGACTTCAGGTGTTTATAGTGCACAACACGGCTAAGCAGAATGAGCACTGCTTGACCAATTTTGAACTATCAGAGTACCAGCAGGTCTTTGGCGATCTGGCCATTCAGATTTACCGTCAACTCATCAAATGTATGGAGGACATCCTGCAGCACCTCATAGGTGAGGAGACCTAATCTAATGATACTTAACAAGTAACATCATATGTTATTAAGTCTGTCACCTACAATTTGTGTCTTATGTGTAGTTTCGAGCATGCTGGAGAACGAGACAATCCAGGGTGTTTTAGGGTCCAAACCAACAGGCCTGAGGAAGAGGAGCACCAGTTTCTCAGAAGAGGGGGCTGTTACAATGGAGGTCCTCCTGCAGCGTCTTGGCCTCTTCCACACCACGATGAGTCAGCATGGGATGGACTCAGACCTCATTAAACAGGTGGTCAAGCAGCAGTTTTACATCATCTGTGCGGTCACACTCAACCACCTGCTGCTGCGGAAGGACATGTGCTCCTGGGGTAAAGGCCTGCAGATCAGGTACAGCCAAACACACACTGGGCATGAAAAACAAAAAAAGATGGTAAAGAGAGTGAAGATTAAAAATAAAAAATAAAAATGATAGTCTATTATTTATATCAGGCAAGATTTCTGCTTTATCATCAATCAGCATTCAAAAGTCAAGACATAAAATACACGGCTGCTTGTCGTATTTGAATTACAGGTATGAATTTCAAACACAAGACCTCAGTCCCATCTTACTGAGTTATGTTACATTAGCCTTATATGTTTAGACCTTGATTTTAAGCTGAGGTTTCCCCCTTTTGACACAGACTGATCATGTACTGCATATAATTTACCTGGCTGTCCAGGTAAAGAAGATGCTATTATTTTATAGCTGCATCATTACATGAAATATAAATATTCCAGATATAATACAAAGGAGGTTTTTAAACACATTTCACCATTTCTTAAGCAAACACATTTGGAAAACAGTTCATATGATTTAACAAGTTCAAATGCACAATGGTAACTATGGAGAGATGGTTAAGATGGGGTCTGAGGGGAGCCAGGTTCACCCAAACTAATGTCAAGGTCACTGATGGCACACTGAATGAGATCTAGCTGGGAGAACGACAGGAGAGAAATCTAGGGGCCCAGCTTTATTTCAAAGAGCAAAATGTAAGGTAATACCATTTGAGACAACTTTTTGATTTGAGTTGGGCATTCACCAGAGAGAAAACATGAAGAGGGCATCAACTGATCCTAACATAAGACTACTTAATTGACCTTTACCCTTGAATATGAGGTTAACAAATAGCACTGCCAAAATCATAAAGGTGGCAGAGTTTTCAGGTAATATAATACATATCTGTTTTTTATATTTGTTTTAATTTCTGTGGTTGGATAGAAGAATGATGGAAGAACTTACCTGGGCAGTATGGAGATTAATCTGTATTGTTTCTCTGGGTTCAGGTACAATGTATGGCAGCTGGAGGAGTGGCTGGCTGAGAGAGAGCTGACAGACAGCGGTGCAAAAGAAACTCTGGAGCCTCTCATACAGGCTGCACAGCTTCTACAGATCAAGAAAAAGACTGAAGCAGATGCCCAAGCCATCTGCAACATGTGCACTGGCCTCACCACAGCGCAGGTTGACCATCAGTTAAGACTCAGCTTTGTTAATCTGTAGACAGTTTATCCTGCTCATGCTCTGATTGCCGTTTGTTTTTTGTTGTTTATTGTTGACAGATTGTCAAAGTATTGACCTTGTACACACCGGTGATTGAGTTTGAAGAGAGAGTGTCACCTTCATTCATCACAACGATTAAAGTGAGTAAAGCTTTGTCCTCTTTTACTATTATGTTAATGTTTAATATGTTTGTAACTTTTCTTTATCTGGCTTTGTTTGTTTGCTTTGCATTTTAGAACCTTTTGAAAGACAGAGCTGAGTCATCCACTTTGATGATGGATGCCAAGAAAATCTTCACCGTCACCCTCCCGTTCACACCTTCCTCTGTGGCTCTGGACACCATCCAGATCCCGAGTAGCCTCAATCTGGGCTTCCTTACTCGCATCTAGACCTGTAACTTCTGATACTTGCAGTATAAAAATATCTTCACAGTTGGCTTTTATTGGACTCCAGAAACCAAGGAGAGGCCGTGTACATGTTATCTGTTTGCTTTTAGTATGAAGCATAAATGCTCTTGGAACAGTGAATATAAAATATAGATCTCTTAAGGGTTGCAAATCTTGTGTTGCTGACTGTATTGTAAACACACTGGTTCATTCTTGCGTTCATGGGTCGGATTGTTTCTTCTACCAAACTAAGTTTCACAACTTCACTTGCTTATATGGTATTTATGATTACATGAATTCATAAAAGTGGAGTTCATATTTTTAAATTTAGTAAGAAATTTGGGAGCACTCCAGTATTTCTTTATATTTTTACAACTGCTGATGTAATGTTATTCTATTTATGCACATCATGGCAAGGGGAAGGAAGAGAGAGTTCAAGTACATATATGTATATGTATTTAACTGATGTTGTCGGTCACATTAAAGGCTGGCTGATCAGTAACATGATGATGTTAAAATGCTGCACAGTGTTTAACTACCTCGTGAGGTATGTCAAGCTTGGTGTTCTGTTGAATTTTCAGAACAATCAAGAGTATTTTAGTTATAGTCAATATTTCTCTTGACACTGTAATGCATCCACTTCTCTTTGTAATAAGATATACAGCTGTGTCTGACTGTAGACATCCTCCATTAAAGAAACTGGGAGTAAAATTGAATTAAATGTGCTGGCCCAACATTGCCTTTGTAGCTGCACATTGCTGTGCAGCTAAATAGCATGCTATCTCCTGTTCACAAGTGCTGTGAATTTGCAAAAGTTTAACAGATGAAATGACCTAAAAATTTATGAATGATTAACCTGCTGCCCACTGGGGATGTGTTAATGTGCTTCCTTGCCTTTCTGGTTCACTCTTTTGTGAGTCTTGGGTCGGATTGACTTGTGATGAGTTGGTTTTAAAAAAAAGTTAAGTGTTTGTGTGCTTACATCTGCTCACATATGGTGAGGTGGCCGACGTCAGCATCCTGTTTCTTTAGGAGTGAGAATCCTTGATCAAAAACGAGCACACCCACTCTGGCAAGCCGCTGTCACAAGACGGGAGGGCGGAGTCATCCAAAGTCCGGAGCAGGTGAGCGACAAGGCACCGAGAAAATGAGGAGACAAACCCGGAAGATGGCTGATCGGTTTTTCAGAATGAATGCAAAAGCTTTTTCAGCCGCTGCAGTCCCCGGCCTTCACGTGTGATCAGTTAAACCTATGACTACATGAGACTTATCAAATGGTTTATTGATAATTTACTTCTAAGTAGTGCCAAAAACTGTGTTGACAATAACTGAGATCGCTTAAAATTAAATATCTATATAATTCAAACAATCTATGAAAATATTGTTAATGTTTAATTGTTCTATTTCAATGCTTTTGTATTTTTGTTACAGAGTGAATGCAGTGGTATTGAGACAACAGACAAAGAACAAAATTATACACGGATTTGAATCTATTTTGGATCAACTTAACCAGAGAGGCTGGACAGAGGTGTCCAGGGAAAAGAGCTTCAAGTAAAATGTAAAAATTGATCTGTACAGCAGAATTGCTTTTCACCCTTTTAATCTTTTGATTCTTTCAAAATGGACAGTAACAGGCTACCAACAATAAAAAAAGTACATTTATAATAAGTACAATTTAATTGCTTTGAATGACACAAAACAGTGCAGACGAATAAATTAACACAAATAGATGACGTAACGTCTGTAATGATGTAGAAAGTGTATTTCAAAAAATGCCTTAGGGTGACTCTTATTTTGAAAAAGATCATCGGGAGTTTGTAATCTAACTTGACAGGTTATTCCGGAATATTTGTGTGGGGCGGGGAGGAAATGTGTTGGTAACCTGGAAAGCGGTGAAACAGCAAGTGATAAACACACGGACAAAAAAAGTTACTAAAATAATGCACAAACATGGCTGTGCTGGAACTGTACACCAAGGTAAGAGGGAAACAAGCCTAATCTTTTAAAATACACGTAAGATCATGTTTCCATACAGTCTAGAGGTTGCAAGTTTACAGACGCATATGGAAACTTTGTCAGCGCTCTGAAAGGTTGTAAAGCAAACAGATCCACAGGAATTTAAAGGCGAAACACTTAGCTACATCTTTTTTATAGTATAATATTATGAGGTAGCATATATGATGGAGTATTGGTTCCTATTGGGTTTGATTTTCTCTTGCATGTATTGGTTTTAGTCACTTGTACAGTAAGCCATGGCATTAATAACTGAAATAATTATTTGTCACTTTTTTAATCATTTTAGTACAACAGAGTGTGGCTATCAGATGAAGAACATGTGTGGAAATCGGCAGAGATTGTAAAAGATTTCCATTCAGGAGATAAAGTTCTTGAATTGCTTCTGGAGGATGGCTCTGTAAGTAAAATGGAAAGTGACTAATAATACCCTCAATATATGACTGTATTACATTTATAATGGTGAGAAGCACCAGCTGACCTGATTCTCCTACATCACCTATCACTGGACAGGAGTACTGCTACACTGTTGACCCGTCTAAACCACAACTCCCTCCTCTCCGAAACCCAGACATCTTGGTGGGGGAGAATGACCTGACAGCTCTGAGTTACTTGCATGAACCTGCAGTCCTGCACAATCTCAAAGTGCGATTTGTGGAGTCCAGAATCATCTATACCTACTGTGGTACAGCTGCAAGAAGCCTTAAACTGACAAATGGGTGATAAATTAAAGGAAAACCTCTCACGCTTGACCCTTAAAATGAGGTGGTCCTGTGGCTCTGTAATTTTTACTGTAAATTCATACAACGTTGCTCCAAGTGATCACAAACAGGATACTGATGCAGCTGATGCAGCCACGATGAATCACTGAATAACATAATAAGTATACAAATAATGACTCACAAATTATGGCTTTAAGAGTCATCAGAGATTTTTGGCCAACATAGTGAGCCAACACCTTACTAAAACACTTTATGCTGTTGTTGTTGTTTTTTCGTTTTTGTTAATTTGTCACCCATTTGTGTAACTGAGCAAGAAACTTAACCTACTAACACCTCAGTACTCAGTCTGTGTTGTTCCCTCATTGCAGGTATTATATTGGTGGCTCTAAATCCCTATAAGCAGCTTCCTATCTATGGAGATGCAATCATTCATGCCTACTCAGGACAGAACATGGGAGACATGGACCCTCATATATTTGCAGTGGCAGAGGAGGCTTACAAACAGATGGCAAGGTAAATAAAAGTTGAGATTCCCTCATTTAAGTTTTATAGTAGTTTTACATCAGCGAGAACTGATGACTGTATGCAGATTGGAGGCAGTGAGCATGAGTCTGCATATTTAAAAGGACTCTACTAACATATGCATGGGACAAACTTTCTTGGTCAGCACCAAGAAAGTGTTAAAACATCTAAATAACTTTAGAGAACTGATGCTCTTGGAATCTGCAGATCACTGAGTTCATTGGAGTCTCCCATTGTTCTGAGTATTAGTCAGTCCAATAAGTGCTGTCAGGCAAATCCTTTTTATGCTGGAAAAGGGAAACTGACAGTTGTAGGCAATCATGATCACTAATGAGAAGTTAACAGACCTTGGCCTTGTTAAGATAATAAACAATGTACAACCTTCAGCCCCACTTATTAGATTTGAGTGAGTGTATGTATATCTATTTGACCCTGTGGGGGTTAGAGAAAAGCCAAACTCACTTCAAAATGCACCTAATTATTGTTTTGTTTGTTTGTTTGTTTGTTAAACTCATTAAACATAAACATTCCACCCTGGAAAAAGAAAAGTCCAAAGAAATAATTAAAGGCCCCAAATTGCCATGACATCATCTGACCACAACTGTACGGTTGTGTGCTATGCGTGCACGCGTTTATGTCCTGGTGATCATTAAAATGAAAGTTAATCTAGTCAATAACTGCCCAAGTAAGTCCCAAGTAATGCTTCAAGACACAGTGGTGTGTACTTTGTTTATATCCCCCTTTTCTTTCTCAGAAACCACAAGAACCAGTCTATCATAGTTAGCGGTGAATCTGGAGCTGGTAAAACGGTGTCTGCTCGATACGCTATGAGGTACTTTGCTGTTGTGAGCAAATCTGCAAATAAGACACGAGTTGAAGACAAAGTCCTGGCATCCAATCCAGTAACAGAGGTACGATCTCGAGACTACACAAAACGGCTGTTGAACTAAACAGGCAAAAATGTTCACATATTTATTCATACACAAAAGAAAATCTTATAAATAGTTCTTATAATTCATTTCCTCTTAAGGCAATAGGAAATGCAAAGACCACTAGGAACGACAACAGCAGCCGTTTTGGGAAATACACAGAGATTAGCTTTGACAGGAAGTACCGGATCATCGGAGCAAACATGAGGACCTACCTGTTAGAGAAATCCAGAGTGGTCTTTCAGGTATGCATGATTGTGAGATCAGGATTCTTTCAGGTTTCGTTACTGTGTTTAATCCATAATACGAATCTTTTGTTCTGTTTTTGTTTCAGGCAGAAAATGAGCGTAATTACCACATATTTTACCAGATTTGTTCCTGTGCAGACTCACCAGCGTTTAAGAACCTGAGACTACGTAAGTGTTTGCACTGAGGGTTTACTGTGGATCTGTGACACTTAACTGCTGCTGTTTTATTACTATTTTAACTAACTCACCCAGAAAACACAACTAAGTCTTGCAGTAGTTTATTATAAGCAGCATCAGTGATATAATCTTTCATCCGCAGAGAGTGCGGACAAGTTCAACTACACCTGCATGGGTGGTGACATAACCATTGAAGGTGTGAACGACAAGAAGGACTTGGAAGAGACTCGACAGACCTTCTCACTTCTGGGTAAAGGTTGCCTCAGCATGACTGAAACCTCCCTTTATGATTTTAAAGTTTTATCTTAGCTTTAACGTCTTTTCTCCAGGATTGAAGGAGGACTTTCAGTCAGATGTGTTCAAAGTTCTGGCAGCCATTCTGCATTTGGGTAATGTGGAGATTAAAAACATAGGCGATGACAAATCATCAGTTCCCGTAAGTAGCTGTTCATAACTTGTGTGTACGACCGATCTTGAATCATTCACCAGGTTAAGTACAAAGCTTGATTTGTATATCTTTCAGCCCAGTGATCCACACCTGGCTGTCTTCTGCGAGCTGCTGGGGGTGAGCGCAGAGGGGCTCGTACGCTGGCTGTGCCATCGGAGGATCGTTCTGGTAGCCGAAACGGTTGTGAAGCCGGTCCCCAAAGATCGGGCAGTAAATGCCAGAGACGCTCTAGCTAAGCATATCTATGCCCATCTGTTTGACTGCATTATAAACAGGATAAACACAGCACTACAGGTGCCAGGAAAGCAACATGCTTTCATTGGTGTTCTGGACATTTATGGGTAATGCAAGCGCAACTCTTTTTTTTTTTTTAATATGTGTGCAGCTTTCTTTTGCTGCCATTTTTAAATGTGCATTCTGTTTTTTTTTTCCTTCAGTTTTGAAACATTTGACATCAATAGCTTTGAACAGTTTTGCATCAACTATGCAAACGAAAAGCTTCAACAGCAGTTTAACCTGGTCAGCAATGCCTTCTTCCACATTCACTGCTAATTACCACACGCACCTCTTCACCAGCTTACACGTTTATTCTCTTGGGTCTTTTCAGCATGTATTCAAGCTGGAGCAAGAGGAGTACATGAAAG